CGTGAAAATGAGGGATAATTGCATCATATTGTTTAACACAATTGGAATAGAGGGGCGAAAGATACCAAAGGAACATTCAAACATGTTGGCATGACACGGGTTATGTTCTTCTCATATATTTCATGACGGTATAATACTAAACCCCTAACAGGAGGGATTGTGCCTGATATTCATATGATGAAGACATAATCTTTCAATCAGTTTAATTGAGGTCTGGAGCTGGCATGTCAGTAACTGCTAGTAGTCTGTTGTTATTTATGTATTATTGTCATTTAGTTTATTTTCTTTTGTTTCCTATTCTAACATCGGACTCGGACTTCTCTTATACTGAGTTTTACTGTGCGTACTGTTGTGCGTTTGTTTTTTTCTACATTGGCTAGAGGTATAGGGGGAGGGTTGAGATCTCAAAAACATGTTTAACCCCGCCGCATTTTTGCGCCTGTCCCAAGTCAGGAGCCTCTGGCCTTTGTTAGTCTTGTATCATTTTTAATTTTAGTTTCCTGTGTATAATTTGGAGTTTAGTATGACGTCCATTATCACTGAACTAGTATACTTATTTGTTTAGGGGCCAGCTGAAGGACGCCTCCTGGTGCGGGAGTTTCTCGCTGCATTGAAGAACCATTGGTGGCCTTCGGCTGTTGTCTGCTCTATGGTCGGGTTGTTGTTTCTTTAACACATTCCCCATTTCCATTCTCAATTTTATCATAAGTCGAAAATAAACTGACAATACCATGGCTAAAAAAGAAAAAGACAAACAGACAAACAATAGTACACAAAACACAACATAGAAAACTAAAGACTGAGCAACACGAACCCCACCAAAAACTGGGGGTGATCTCAGGTGCTCCGGAATGGTAAGTAGATCCTGCTCCACATGTGGAAGAAATTATGTACATACCAAATATAATGCTCCATCCATACACCAATTTAGAGAGGGTTCCACATAGTCCGAAGCATGATACCAAAGCCTATCAATTAAAAAAATCTCTCCTAGTACGCCGGTCTGCTAAATGTCACGGGGAAAATATAGTCTTTGTGTAAATATAACGATTTAAAAGTTATGTCTACTCAAGGTTAAAAATATTGAAGGACAATTTCTTTGACATTTATATGCAGTATTCTCAATTGTATCCGCTTTTTAAAAATTTTACTTTGAAATAGAACTAGTTTGATCTATTTCACGGTATACAGCGGGTCCAGCTTGCGGAGCAGGCTATACTTACCCAAAGCACATTTCTGTTGGTTAAGATGTTTACATTATAATCTATCATTCACCAAGATTTAGTGTTCAGTATTGTTTGCTGTTTACATATGCTTTCTTTTCCGTATGATTGTGTGTCTGTCTGTCTGTGTGTCTGTCTGTCTGCCTGTGTGTCTGTCTGTCTGTCTGTCTGTCTGTCTGTCTGTCTGTCTGTCTGTCTGTCTGTCTGTCTGTCTGTCTGTCTGTCTGTCTGTCTGTTGTTGTTGTTTTTTTTTGTTTTTTTTTATGTTTGGTCTTGTAATTCCGACATTTTGAATAAATGAAGATAAATAAAAGGAGATATAGGATGTACGTCATTGAAACAGCAGCCCAACGATACAAAATCGCAGAGTTATCTAGAGGTCAACATACGGTCTTAAACAAAAAGACAAGTGTCAGTTCGATATGTTAAACGCTAAACCGTCTAATCTAGGAATAAAGAAAATTTCAATCGCTTCTAGAAAAGTGTTGAAATAAGGGAAGACGAAACCATTGGGCAATCCTTAAGATCAAAGAAAAACAGACAGCATCATGGCCCAATTTAAAAAGAACAACGGCCCACAAAAGACAACATAGAAAAATAAAGAATGAGAAACACGATGACTGAATTTGTCCTAACGTGTAAGCAGTTCCTTCAGTTCCACTAATAAATCACTAATGGTAACCGTAGTGTTGCTCATGGCGAGAAAAATAATCCGATGATTAGCCGGACGCATTCGGTAACGTCAGTATCGTTGAGGCGAGAACAGGATTTGGCTACGATATGTGGAACATATCCATGGTCATCTGTGGTACAGATATTTAATAACGGTTAATAATACATGCATCATGATGGCGTCCGTAACACTACAAAATTTTAGAAGAGTTGTAAATAAATTTAACGGGTGCTACAAAAATATGCCACTTTCGCTTTAGAAGTCTTTTATTATCTAATTGAAACAGACAAGGAGCTTAAAATTTCAAGAGGATCTTAAGAATCTAAATCACTCGCCTGTCAAAATTTTATCTTGTACTACCGATCATTTGTTTATGCCTACTGTTACCACCTGTCTATTATTATAGTCTTCGAGTTAATAGGAAAACACTCGAAATTGAGCAAAATCACCATTTAAGGACAATTACTCCTATAATGAGTCATCCAATGGTTCCATTCATATCAACATTTTTATAGAACTTACAATGCTAAACATTACACAGTTTAATTTTCTACCTATTTATTGTAGTTTTCAAGATAAGCAAAAACATTAAATTTTGTCAAAAACTGTCATTTTGCAAGCTATGACTTTTATATGGTTTCATCAAATGGTTTCGGTGATATAGGTCTTAATCGAATTGATGACAAATTTTGCTGTTTACAGTTGCTACCAATCTCTATTATTAGTTTTCAAGATAATCGACCAAAAACAAAAACAACCAGGCGCGTAGCTGCCTTTACGCAAAAAATCATTTGCTTGCACATTTTTTTCACAAAAAAAATATTCTGAAATTGAATTACGGATAGTCTTTAGTCTTTACAGATTATCGTGTCGGGCGGTGTTTAAAGCCAAAATCTCTAATGTCGTCTCTAGCAGTGACTAATAAGGAACTATATCCTTCAATATTCGCAATCTTCTCAATTCTAGTTACAATGCCAGTAACCACATCAACTACTGAACGGTCATTTAGTGCATTACGGCGACCGAAAACGTATCTCCGTTCAACCATGATACAGGACAGACTATCTTCGTTGGCGCTCATACATGTTCACAAAGAAATGGATATCAACTCCGAGAGAGTTCTGCGATAATTTGCCTTGGCAAAAAAATAAATATATGGACTTTCGATATTAACTATACTTTAAGTCTTACATTCAGTATTAACATTTAATGATACAGGCTCAATACAATTACCTTGAAAACATCTTAGATTTATATCCCTTACTTATAAGTCAAGACTTAAAAGTGGCCGTTAGATTTCGTATTCCCATTGTCCGTTCGTCCAAAAGACTATTAATTCACCTGGGGTATCTGTGTCCCAAATGACCTTCTACTGTTGTCGTAGAAACCTCTCCTTTGATTTGAGAATGACCTTCGTGAGAAACACTACGGGTGTCTTGCAAGAAGCAGGAACTGCTTACCCTTCCGGAGCACCGGAGGTCGCCACATTATTTTCTGGGTCCGTGTTTTTCATCTGTATTTAGTTTTCAATGTTGAATGCTTTTGTTTCTCCTTTTGTGTCTTATCTGTTCCCGGGTTTGTCAATTGTCCATTGGCTTTTAACGCTTCGGTTGTCTACTCTTCCTGTTCATCCCGTTTTATAAATTTTTTTTATATTTGAAAATAACCATGTTAATAATATAAGCAGCAAATTACGGAACTCCCTGACTTTTACTATCGTTTCATGAAAATATGATATAGTAAGAAACAGATAGGGTATTTTTCATGTTCAATGCAGTCACTGTAATTACTCATATGCCCGGAGCTTCATGGGGATTCGCTTCCCTGGACCACCGTCTACGATGCTACCCTGCATGGATCCCCGACTAGGGTGCTACCCTGGACCAGCTGGGGACTTTGAGCGGTCCATAGTCTCCTCCCTTGCAGAATCACTATAAAGTCCACAAGTATTCACAAAATAGGAGTTTGGGCGTGAAGGAATTTTATAAGCATGGCATACCTGGAAAATGCCCGAAAAAAGTTATCATTTTCTGCATAAAATGGTCCAAAAAAAATTTTCGCCTCGCTCCGCTGGCGATAGTTATGATTGCACTTCAAATTAAGTCCAGCTACGCCCCTGACAACATAATCACAAGTGGTCAGTTACTGACAAAATAGGCTGGTCCTCTCCCTTCCAACATACGGGTATCTCAGAGCCAAACAGATAAAGGACAGGGAACCAGTCTACGGACAAAACCTCTAATAAGGAGTCTTCCAATGGTGACGGTCAGGTTTGAGAGGATTTACTGCTAATCATTTTTACTGCATACAATTTTTACTTATCTATTAAAAATAGTTTTCTAGATAATATGAAAAATTCAAACGTTAATTAAGAATCGTCATTTAAGGGCAACTCGTATAATGAGTAGTCTAATGATTTCGGTATTATGCCATATTTGTATGTCTCGTATAGCTGATAATTTTGGCGATAATGAAAATGGGGTAGATCGTGCATTTTTGGAAGTTATTTGGTTGCTTGTTATGCAAAATTTTCCCAGCGAAAACGAACCTATTTTAATATAAGTTGTAAGTCCCTACCCAAACAAACTCACCCGAAACGCCTAGATATATACTAAGTTAAAAAAAAAAGATGTGTAATTGACTAATCATTAGTATGACAATTGACAATAACGTTATATCTAATCACAATGTTCGCTTCTTTTCCATTGTACCAACGGATTTTCGTAGTAAAAATGCTTTTCTCAAATCCGTGAATGTTTATTTTGACTAAATTCAGCATCAGCAAGCAATGCTTATTTGGCTATTTTCCGAAAATCATTATTAGTTGCACTTAATATTGACACGATCAGGACCGTAGGAGTTCGTTGACCGGAGTTATGGATTTAACACGTTGTACATTTTCCGCTTCTATTGACCAGAACAAGGAAAACGTTTTAGGAAATGTAGAAAAGTAAAATAGTTTAACAACTGATGTAATTTTATTCAGGATGTTTGTAACTAGATTGTAATGTTTATGTAAACAAGAAAACAATACAGGATATATTTGTTTACGCGAATGAAGTACGTCTTTCGGCGACCTATACTCCTAAAGAGACTTTTATCCATATTTGGATTTGATTTCCGTTTCATCATTTTATCAGCGCCCACGTTTTTGAAATACTTCCGTCAATTTCTTCCATCTTTTATTTTGGACTTTCATGACACGCATTTCAGATTTATTTTTTCTAATTTTCATCATTACAGCTACAAATCAAAATCATCTAAATTAACGTAGAGGTTGCGAGCAGAAATATTCAGTGAAATCGTTCGACCAATTTATTTCAAACATGTTTAAACTGATTTTTCTGCGTATACCTGGCTAACCTAAACTAAATATAGACTTATAACGTAATGAAAACTTTAAACTTGTATTGATAAAAATATATCGGATATAGCTTGGATTTCCACTGAGGTAACCATATTTAACTGAACCGGAAGACTTTTTCTCAACAGTTCCGATTTTCATCTGGAAGTTGGTTACTTTGAACCTTTTTATTTCAATATTTCATCAAAATGGCTGATGAACCAATATCAGATGATGATAGAATTATTCAGGACTTGATAGAGTATTGTAAAGACGTTCAGCTCAAAATATTGAGAGCGACATCGACAAAGCTATTGTCTAACCGTCTTGATGTAGAAGGATATGTTTTAGGAGACTACAGTAATGACTGGTATGGACTTGCAGAAAGAATCGGATACATGACAAAGGAAATGAGAAAGTTTGAAAAACACGAGAGTCCAACTACCGTTCTTATTAACGACTGGAGCACCAGACTAAAGATGTCCCCAACAGTTGACACTTTGATAAAGTATCTTGTAGAGATACAGAGACCGGATGTTGTGTTGGATAGCGAAAAAAGTATAAGTACGTATTATTTTATATTGAATTACAACACACACACACACACAACCCATACAAATAAGCGGTAGGAGTGTCATCCCAAATTCCCGAAAAATAGAACATTATTTCCCAGGTCCCGAAAATTTTAATCATTAATTCCCGACTCCCTATAGGTGTAAATCCCGAATTCTCGCGAAAACAAAGCCTAATCCCGAATTTCCACAAAAATAAAGGGCTAATCCTGACGTCCCGAAAAAAGGTCCTTCTAACCCTCTTTCTTCTTTGATGATAGATATAGGAAGATGTGGTATGAGTGCCAATGAGACAACTCTCCATCCAAGTTACAAGGTTGATAATGGTTTTCTGTACACATGAAATGTCATCTATCTGAAGCAATTAAGATTAATATCTAAATAGTAACTTCAGTTGAAACATTTTTGACCGATGACAATTATATATATATATATGAATGAGATCATATTCTTCAAAGAGATAGCAATCCAACAACACAGTTTAAAAGAAAACATGTGGTCTTCAAAAATAGGCTATATCTGTACAATATTCATCACCCCGAGTTGAGAGAAATGGTGTATAAAACAGAGGTATTTATTTATAATATTATTATCATGCGTATTTTAAATTATATTTGTCCCTCGCCTATCCTCGGTCTTACCGCATGCAATTTTATTTACACCATTACCGTAACCACTTTACGTTTTACACAAAATCGATAGGGTTTCCTCTCTATTTCCGATACACTAGTGTATAGGTCAAATAATGTTGACTGAGTTTGTCTGTCTCAATTTCTTATGGAGAATTAATAAAATTGAATTTTCATTATTTCTTGTTAATAGTGTTAATATTAAAACTAAAATATAAAAAATCTTATCCAGTCTAATGTGTATTTTTATTCAGGAAGTTCCAGATGACAGGTTTTCAGGAAGTCGTATATATTTGATTGTGTGCTATATTTCTCTTGTTACATGTATACCATCAAGGAAGTACAAGTGCCATTTAAATTTTACACTAAGCAAACTTAAGTTAATAGATTAAATTAGAAATAAACAAGAAGATTGGTAGCACATAAACGAATGTTAAACGTTCACTTATATTGAAGTTAATTTGAAATGTAAAGTCTATACACGGTATAAATTTGACACTGGCTAAGAGCCGGTTGGGGTGAAGTTGGCAAGGGGAAAATCGTCACACTTTCAAACAAGTTTTGCCCCCTAACATTTGAAAGTGTATGTGGGGATGTGAATTTCCCCTATGTCACCCACTTACAAAAGGGGGCAGAACTGTTCCCCCGTACTTGTTTGGGGGAAAAATGTTGAATATAAAAAATGAAAATGTGAGGACGCTGACTAACTTCTAGACTATAAAAGATATCTTTTATTTTGGGCTTATCACTTTCAGAACTTTGTCCTTACTTTTCAGGCTGCTCATACGCCACTGTATATATGGTCGATCTAGAAAGAAACGCACAAGACACAAAATAAACTGTGTAAAGAGATACAGTTTGTACGTGTTTAAAACGATAATTTATATTCTTATTCAAGCTATTGAATTTAGTCTTGACCTGGGTGGTATTCTTTTAAATTCATATATGTTCAACAGTTGATTCAGCTCTACTATGACACATATACAAATTGCCCCCTTTTCTTTATTAGAAGCTCGAATTAAATATAAAAAAAATATTAAAGAAAAAACTATTCGCTTCATTCTAAATAAAGTTTTAATTTGAATAAATTCAAATGTGAACTGAGAGACTCTTGGTTATCTGTCCATCTTTCTCAATCTAGCTGTTACTTTAGACTAGACATATTATGTGGAAATTATTATCATGGTAGTATAAAATTCATATAATTCTTTTCCTAAGTTGGCCCTCCTGTGCAAAAAAACGTCAAACGGTTATTTGCTCTATTCCTTGACCTGCAAGACATCGGGACGCTGATAGATGTACTTCTTGTAACTTGCCTAGACAGTAAACCTGAGTGAAAACATGAACTACTAGTACGCAATGATGAGCTCTTGGGAAAATTGTTCTGGGTATGGCAGTCTATATATGTACAAAAGGCCAATCAACCCAAAATCCAGACTTTTCCGATTTTATTTGGTGTTTTGGCTTTACAGGGAAGTAGTCGTATCCCAAGCGTAGCATGTTTAGTAGCTATATTTTTTGGAAGTTTATGTTGTTTTGTGAATTTCAAGACTTCTGTACTGCGTTTATTTTTCTATAATTTCAAATTTCGAATCTGAGCCCCCCCCCCCCCCCCCCCTGGATCCGCCACTGGTTTATATCTGTAGAAAATAACTTAGGTTAAAGTGACATGCCTGAATAGTGACTAAATAAAGATTATATAACTCTAAAGATATGGAAAGCCGTTTGAGCAACTTTAAATAATGTGTAGAGGTCATAACATTACGCTCCCGCATGGTAAGGGTTTATAATGTTGTTTGACAGTATTCATAGTGCAAAACCGTTATGAAAGTTTTGGTCGCCATTGTACAAATATTAAAAATAATGATTTTTCAGAGACCCATTTTTATTGTAAAAAGTAATTATCACTACAATCTTTTTTTTTATATTTTGGAACATTTGAGTCAATATATATCCTACATTCTATACATTTTTTTTATAGAAATAACACGACAGACAGGTTTAAGAATGCGTGTTTCTGAAATATCATTTTCTTATAATCCGATTTGACAACTTTGTCATTATTTCAGGAAGAGATGTAGAACATTCCAAACAACCAGCTCGAGCTCCACCGCCACCAAAACCAAAGGTACCAGGTAAGACACCTTATCATTTTAATAATATAACCAGGATAAATTTACCGAACAATGTATCAAATAATAAAGAATATACCGGGAGAGAAATAGACGATGAAAAATGAGTTTTTAATACTTACTAAAATAACTGCTTTTTGTGTTTTTTTAATTCACCTGGGCCGAAAGGTAATTGTGTTCTCATTACTTGGCGTCCGTCGTCCGTTAACTTTTACAGAAATGTTCTCCTCTAAAACTACATGGCCAAATAACCGCAATTGGCCACAATTTTTATTGGAGGTATCTAGTTTATTATACTATATAAAGTGTCCAATGACCCAGGCTGCCAACAAACATGGCCGACATGACTAAAAATAGAACATAGGAGGAAAATGACAGTTTTGTCTATTATCTTGAAAACCACTATAGATAGAGACAATCTGACTTTTGCATAAATGTTCAAAATGTTGAGATTGACATACTGTCTATTCATATCTAAACTGTAAGCTGACTTCTCATGAGAGATATTGATAAAATGACGACTTTTACCAATTTTTTTGCGTTTTTTGCCTCATATTTTCAAAAGTATAATAGATAGACAAAAACTTCGAACAGCAACATTGATCAGCAAGACCAGTTCTACAAACAAGTCAACATGCACAACCGAAATCGTCAGTCGACTCATTATTGAAAATATTGCCCTTTAATAGCGATTTTTACTTTTTTTTTTCGTTTTTACCTATTATCTTCAACATTATAACAGAGAGAGAAACACAACAAAAAGCAAGACAATATCTTTAAATAAACGTATACATGGCCGAAATTGTCAGTCGACTCCTTATTTGAGTTATTGTCCTCATCTGACGATTTATACCAATTTTAAGTGTCTTTGCCTATTATCTTGAAAATATCAGAGATAGATGGAATTTTTTACTAGCTAAAAAGCCGGATCGGGAAGACAAGATCTACAAATAAGCCAACAATGTCGAAATCGTCACTCCTTGAAAGAATAATTGCTCATAAATTACAACTTTTACTATTTGTTTTGCGTTTTTGCATTTTATCTTGAAAATTTTAATAGATAGTGAGAAACTTTTAAATAGCAAAAACGATCAACAAGACAAGATCTGCAAATAGGTCACCATAGATGAAATTGTCAGTTGTCTTCATATAGGAGCTTAAATGACGATTTTTTAACCAGAAAAAATTATCAGCAATACAAGATCAACAATAAAGACATTTTAGTCATTAGCTATATTCTAATCTACAATGATGGAGAGTGCCAATTGTTGCACATAGACCTTGGTGAGCGACCACATACTCTTTAGAGCCTTACGTTAATAAAATGTTCCTTCTGGTTAGAGAATGTCTAAATATTCTTCTTGTTAGAACCTGTCATAAAAAAAATATACTATAACATTTTTTAAATACTAATAAAACAAAAATATTTTTTTCTATTTTGAAGAAAGTGACAGATATGATGCTTTTGTTGTTTATGGCAACACAGAACGAGATATCCAGTTCATGTTAGATATGGTGAAAATTCTAGAAGGAGAAGATCATAATATAAGGTTATATGTTCCTGGAAGGGACGATCTCGCAGGCGATGAAAAATATGTAGTAACAGCAGAAATGATTGCTAACAGGTAACATTAGTTGAAAAAGTATTTGGATAATTGATTTAAGAATAGAAACAAGCCCAACCCAAACGGAGAACTGATTAATACTCTTACTTCATGAAAGTGGTTTCTCAGTGTTCTCGTTCTTGCTCCCTTAATATGGTATTTTTATCTGTCTTCCTAACATCTCCATGCGCAAACCAAAGACTGTCAACCTGTTGTGTTCCTGTCTCCCCGCCTTGAAATATTTTGCATTTATTAGTAATGTCTGGTCGGCTTGCAGTAGGAATAATAACTTCGGGTGACATCTTTTCCTACGAACTGTTACCTTGTGGTAAAAATTTGGATCAGTGTGTTGTCTTCTTTTCGGTTTCAGCAGTTTGTTTGGTAAACGGAAAAAAGTCACTGGAAAAAAGGTCACAGGAAAAAAGTCACAAATTTGGTAGGAAAAAAGTCACACGTTTGATATATGAAGGAAATAAGTCACAAATCTGATAGGAAATAATCTCCATGTTTGTACAAATGCTTAATAATATTTCATTGTTTTCTCTTTCTTCTTAAGTTATACAGAACTTTCAATGGTAAATTAATGACATATTATAAAAAAAATATTTTAAGGTTTTAATTGTTAATCTGTCAAGATTGAGACAATTGACAGGAAAATAGTAAATTGAAGCCAGTTAATTAGTTATTAACCGTCTGTTGGATTGTTTTTAAAACTTGACATTTTCATGGACATTTTGTATGAATCTTGGAAAATTTATTAGATTGTAATAAACACAAACATCATAATACCATACCCCTGTATTCTTACATCACAGATGTTTAAATATTCGAAAACTCTATTCAGTTTTACTACAAACAAATTCAGGTCAAATAATTATCCTGTGATCTTTTCCATACATAGAGACAAATAAAACATAAACATGTATAGGTTTCTGCCTACATGTTAAGAAAAAATCTATAAAACAGTATTTATATCAAAAAAATTAATATGCTGTATTTACTTTTTTTTATTATTATGACTTTATTTCCTGTGACCTTTTTTTCCTGTGACTTTTTTCCTGTGACTTTTTTTCGTGACTTTTTTCATGTGACTTTTTTCCCACATTCGTTTGTTAATTTTGATGGTTGCTTAATATCCTGTGGGAAATATTAGATGCATAAATTATTAATATGTTATCGTCATGTATAATATATATTCACATACTATTTGTTGCAGGACGTTAAACAGCCATCAATCAATAGATAGTACAAAAACTGCCCATAACCAGAGGCTTTGGCCCCTTTTCTTCTATATATGTTACTGGTATATTTTTTTATTTCATATTTTATTTTTTTTTTGTAAATTTTCTTTAATATATTAACTTATTTTCAATTATTTGAATGTGTTCTTGCTCTTATCCATACGATATAACACGGAGTTTATATATGATGCCCCTCTATTTTTTGTTTAACTAAGAATAGAGGGGCATAATACATAAACATAGATATATAGAAAAGGGACTGTCTATTACCCCAAGCGCTTGTGCCCATAACGAACAAACATGAAATATTCTAAGAGTATAACAACAAAAAAGAACCTAAATAGATAAAAAAAAAATTGTAATCATTAAAAGTCAACTATGATCGAAGAACATTTTAAAGTTATTTAATAATTTTATCATCTTCTTTTTTACATACTTAGAGTACATATTATAATATATAGTTTTGTTCCTAATTGTATGAATAAAACGAGATGCATGTTATATATGTTTGTTTCTCAATTGTTTATCATTTCAGATGTCGGAGAGTTATAGTCGTACTGTCTAGAGGATTCGAAGACAGTGAAGATTGTGATTTCGCATTGAAATTAGCACAGTCATTATCACCAGGTAGAACTTGTTTACTTTTTTTATTCGAGCGTCACCAACGAGTTTTTTGTAGACGAAACGCGCGTCTGGCATACCGTGAACATTGTAAGCCTGAAAATTTTGATTAGTTTTTTTTACTCTACATTTATAATTAAAAGCTTGGCATGCCTGTGATAATACTTGATGTTTTTGTCAAAGAAATTCTAATTTTGTATCGTTTACCTAAACTGTTTCTCTTGTATTTCTTTTACATCCTATTTTGTATACTATCTGAAGCAGTTTCAATAAAAAAATATTTTTTGATTTGTAAGCTAGAGTTTTTCTTTGATAAACTAATGTTTTTTTTGTGTTTTTTTAACTTCTGAAATTCATTTTAGTCTAATGGAATTGTTGGTTCCTCTTTATATAAATTCGTAATCAGTTCAAATTAAGTTAAATTCATTAAAATTATATGAAAATAGTATGAACTTAAACAAGACCGTTTTCCTGGAATGGAAAGAACAACGCTCACAACTTTCAAATCACGTTTTTTTTTTTTTTTGCATTCATGTAGGACCAATCGTGTTCCACTTGCAGTCGATTTGTTCCTGTATTTGTATGGGACATACCTCATACAGAGGCTTCTTACTTTTATAACTTTTAGTTTTATTGACAATTTATTAAAAGCAGATACGAATAACAGGAGATTTGGGTTATACGTTAATGAGACAGTACCCCAACAACACCAAAATACCCAAAGACATCTAGATATTAACAAACAATTATAAGTGACGATAATAAATACAAAGTTGAAAAAGGGGAGGGTAATTCAACAAACAAATATATGTTAAGAAAGTGTATCAATGAATTGAAGGAGAATAATGTTAACGTCAATGAGACAGCAACCAACAACAACAAAAAGACAAAAAAAAAATCCATTGAAATATAAAATACAAATCATCATTTCTTTTGTGTACAAATGTATTGTCAACTGTAGTATTTTCCGAGCTAAAAGTTCACAGTGATTCAACTTCCTTTATGTTGGCATAAAAAAATAGTAATTATTGTTTTTTTTCAATTTTAGGTGCCAAAACAAAACGTATTATACCAATATTATTAGACAATGTAAAAATTCCACTTATATTAAACTTTGTTGGTACAGTTAATTTTACAAACCCCATGCAACGTGAATGGGTTTGGCCCCGAGTTGCCGCCACTATCAAGTGTCCTCTCGTCCCAAGTATACAGGATTGGCAGTGTACAATTGATGACTTAAAGAATATGAAATATGACAGTAAACATGTGCAACATCTGTTGTATGGAATTGGTGTTGCATGTCAAGAATTTCCACCCGAAGAAGAAGAAGACAAAAAAGGGAAAAAAGGAGACAAGAAAAAGAAAACATGATGAATAAAGTGTTAAATAGATGGTTGTTATAAAAATCTGATAGAGACGTGTATCCGTCCATTTATCACTGTCCGATTATTAAAGAAATCCAAATATGGATCTCAAAACATCCAAATGGGCTTGTTATAACACGTGCAAAACCCTTAAGGAAAAACGACCCTCTGAGTGGAATGGACGAATATTAATGTGGATATACTTTGTATTAGTGAATATTTTGTTGTTCAGATTTGACTACTTTTGTACGATATAAATATGTAATGTTTCATTGTTATTTGTAAATATTGGTTATTAATTATGACTACTGTTTTATGTGTGTGTTATGGCGTAGCAATTAAAAACTTTAAACTATACAAGTGTTCAGCTGTGTTATTTAATGATTACATATCATCTTCATCAACATTTAGAGGAAATACACAGACCGTCACCATACTGAATTATTTAGGATATTGTATATTACAAGCCAATTTTAGATAAACGTTTGAAGAATCTTGTTCAAGAAACACGTTTTGTGCGCACAGAAATCAGATCAACACTCTTGTTACTTGCATTTTTGAAATTAATGAAAATTGTTTTTTAAATGCACTAATACATACTTGAAGTTTAGAGATTGGTGGATGTTTTCAAATTTAAATATCTGAACATGCCATACAGCTATATCAATTGGGGATTTTATTTTTCGCCTTTGTTTTTTCTTTTTTTTGTCTGTCCTTCTGTGAATGAGATAGCAAACTAACAAAAAATGTTGAACGAAGTATAAAATTCAGGCATTTATAGTTTCCATACATAGACTCAACATCAAAACACGCACAAACAGTAACCATCGTTAATATGCTATTACAGGAAATACTCATTAACTTCGCCATATTATTGATATGAAGAAAATTCTGAATCACGGGGTTAAAATTGACTTTCCAGCGAGAAAGGGAAAACATAAATTGACGATGTTTTTTTTTCTGATTTGAACTTAATTGCTGCTTCCTAAATCACAAAAGTGAGGACACAATAAGAAGTATGAGCGAATATCGGTCGACTCAAGAGACAACCTAATTTGTGAGTCAGGAATGAAACGTCCCCTGTGGACTGTAAAATCATAAGCTAGTTTAAACATTCAGTGCGTCGATCTAGAAAAAAGGATAATAGTTTTTTATTGATATTCATTTCTATTATTTCTCGACGCAACATTTGAGTCATTAGTCTTCTATGATTATGTCAAACACATAGAGATACAATGTTATACCGGTATACAAATATTTTTTTCTAAGTTTTCAGTCTATAGAGACTTGTTTCTTAAATTACATCAGACGAATTTCAAACCAATGACACGCATAGTAATATATTTCAATATTCAATATTTCAATATTTATTGAAAAGAGCACAATAGAGGCGTGATCCAAATACAGACAATAAATATATTAAAACAACATATAATAAATGAAACATAGATGCATGTAACAGCAAGTCATAAGTAAATTCTATAGATACCATAACATTCTAAGTATATTCCAAGAATACCATTACATTCTAAACTCATATTAATACCATTACACATATACATCACGATTATTCTAAATTTTCATAATCCTACTTAAAACACACAATCACCTATATACGATATATGTGTATATGCACAAACTACTATGAAGGATTATTATCTGATGAAACAGTATGGTGGTCTCTCAAATCAAGAGCTTCTTCAATATTAATATAAACGTATCAATTAATTAAAATTGTTTCATTATTTCAATAGATATTCTATATATGTTTGAATCCTTGTTGAAAGCGTCCATCCGGGAATCGATTATCCTTAAATAAAAGTATGCCACTTATATTTGCTGTTCGTTTATTTAAAGAACACTACTAGAAAAGAGGTAGGGTCAATATCCCCTGTATTTGTTCAACATCAAAAAGTTGTCAGTGGTGTTGGAGTTGACTGAAAAGTGTGGTCCAATCTTCTGAACTGGTCTTAAACTGTTATAAATCATCGGAGAGTTTATCACTCAGGATTCTTCAAATTGCAAAATGGTTCCACCGACGCGTTTGCTACATTTAATGTCCCTTCCTGAGTATGTGACTTTATGTTTATTCACCAAAAAACTGTATAGATGCCCCCTCTTCAGAACTAGTTTTACGATCCGAATTAGCAATTTTATAAACATAAACTACGTTTGGGGTTTATAACGATATCTGTACCTAGAAATAATTGCAGTAAATAAAAGTACACATGATCCCGTATAGATCAGTATACAGGTATACGCACGATAATATCCCTCAAATCAAATCACATTTCTCACACTGTAACTATCTATTATGCAGGTGCTATGGACTTTCGGAATGCAAATTATTCTGTTATCATTTCAAGATACAATTGGAGGAGGATGCCTACAGTGACTTGAAATACACGGAGATGACGTCTTTACACTAAATTCATTGTATGTTGGATGTGTACTGATTGATATTTTAGTCTTAGATACATGAATATTTTATTAGTTGTTATTGGCTTTGAACTAGTTGTCAGTAACTGCGGGTACTCTCAGATCTGTACGTTGTGTACTTTTTTTTAGTTGTGAGGGATGTATCAATACCCTGTCACGTCCGGTCTGTGTTTTTGATAGATGCATTTCTGCTTTGTATCGTATTTAGTTTGTTCTTATGTTGTACTGTTACACCACTGTCCTAGGTGAGGGGAGGGTTGGCGCCTTTGAATATGTTTAACCCCGCCACAATGTGTATGTGCATGTCCAAAGTCAGTAGCTTGTAGTTCAGCGATTGCCGATGGTTCATGTTTTTTTTTCGTAAATTGTTTTGTTATAAATCAGGCCGTTAGTTTTCTACTCAATTGAATTGTTTCATATGTTTAACGTCGGGGCCTTTTATAAACGACTACACGGTATGGGGTTTTTCTCATTGTTGAATGCCGTGCAGTTGCCTATATTTGCTTACATCTACGTCACTTAAACTTTGGTGGATAGTTGTCTCATCGGCAATCATACCACATCGCCTTAGTTTTTCTATGTCGCATCCAAACTCCTCGGTAGGATAGCTTACACGCTGCTTTTTACGCATTGTTGTTAAAAGTAAATACAGGGTACCGAAGATCCTATTTCAAAACTAATTAAAAATCACAATTTTATCCTAGCATTTTGATGTCCAATCATGTCAGTTGTAATTTATTACAGGGTCCTTAAATTTTATTATTTACTGAGGGTATACCCCTTGATTATACAAACAAATGTTACATGTAGATCTTTACAAATTATGTATGTTTTTGAACGTGCTCAAATTCTTGAACTGGTCTGGATGGGGTTTACAGAATAGAGTATAATGTTCAAAAAGTGCAGAAAAAAGATCAAACAAATACAAAGAATAGATTAATGAGGAATTAAAATATAAAGAATGAAGAATATTATGACAAAATAAATAAATAATAGAGAATAAGGGTATACAAGATTAAAGAAAAAAGAATATAGAAAAGAAGGACCCATCCAGACCCGCAGTCTTGTATGTGTAAGGTTTGTGATTAGGTTTTAAGAAATAATTTACCTTCAATGAAGGAAGTAAATGTAATCGGGGTATGTCCCTAAATATTCTTTTACCTGTCAAGGAAGTTCTTGTTGGTTATTTAAACCTAATAACAAAACATCGTCTTACAATCCACAATGAGGTTAATAAATATAGACAGCAACTTAAAAACTCAAAATTACAAAATAAGATAAAACAATGATATGTCCAAAGGCTAACAAACAAGCACAAAGTGCCATTTGAATGACTCTTGTATATTGCAACTCAATTGAATCTATAATTATATACAGTTATAGAACTGACATTCAGAGATAGTGATAATCATTGGTGTTTCGCTAATTTAAACTGGTTTGGATTGTTACCAACGTTTAACAAAAATCAGTATGAGAAATGGTATAGTTTTATAAGGAGTAGGTGCGAAGGACATTATATTTTGTTTGCTTGTTTATTGTGAACTGGCGACACTGCCGAATGTATCAACATTCAGAAAAAAGACATCTTAACCATATAAAAATTTTTTGTACGTTCGGATCATTTTTTTTTTTGATAACCTTCATTCGCATTGTATGGTATTTGAAAACAAACCACACAATCAATATACCATTTTGAAATCTTTTGTGAGGAAAAGTGTGTAAATCTAAGCTGTAACTGTAAAATTTCAAAGAAAAATTTAAACTACCATAGGCTGTTCACTTCTTTAAAAGTATGTATTTCAACGTTCTTTCCAAAAATACTGAAATTTTGATCTTTTAACTGGTCTTATTCAGTAGGCTTTGGCCTATTACTATACCAGTTGCTTAAATTATCATTTAAGCTCGAAACGTAGAATTTGAAAGCCAATCTATAGGACCTAAAAGAATAGGTAAAACCATCTTAGGTCAACTGTGCCCGAGGTAGTTTGAACCTTAGTGTCATACGCATTCAATTTGGATTAATTTAAATAAATCAACGATTTTCTTTAACATATATATATAGTGTATATATATATATATATATATATTTTGAGGAGTCAAAATAGGATGAACGGATCATATGAACCCGAAGGCAAATATAATACAAGCCCAAACGAAAAAATATAAACAAGTATAAATTGAAAACAACGTTCAAACCTATGATTGCGTTGGATAAAAACCACAATTTTGATACCTGTGCATGCAAAACAAATTTCTTGGAAGAAGGGTCTAAATACAGCACAAACAACATTTTCCAAAAGACCAAAAAAGTGAAAAAGTATATTTTAACAAAACGCATTAGACTAGCAGGTCAAACAACGGATGTTCTTAAACCCTGCTGACTGCCATTGGCGATTGCCAAATAAACGGATCAATAGATGTATCAAAATGGATCTTAACTACTAATTTAATACCAAACAGAAAACAATAAACTTGCGGAAAAGATGGTATACCGCAAACAAAAGGTGCAAAAATTAGAACACCATATTCGGATTTCGACAATTAATGTCTCTTCAGTGATGTTAGGAATCGAAACGGTATTTGGAAGGCCATATAATTTACCTCAATTTAGGATAGACTCTTGAATTTTGAAGAATCTAATTAGGATGAACGGATCATATAAATCCGAAGGCAAATATAATACAAGCCCAAACGAAAAAATATAAACAAGTCTAAATTGAAAACAACGTTCAAACCTATGATTGCATTGGATAAAAACCACAATTTTTATACGTGTTCATGCAAAACAAATTTCTTGGTAGAGGGGTCTAAATACAGCACAAACAACATTTTCCAAAAGTCCAAAAAAGTGAAAAAGTATATTTTAACAAAACGCATTTGACTAGCAGGTCGAACAACGGATGTTCTTAAACCCTGCTGACTGCCATTGGCGATTGCCAAATAAACGGATCACCAGATGTAACAAAATGGATCTTAACTATTAATTTAATACCAAACAGAAAAACAATAAACTTTCGTAAAAGATGGTATACCGCAAACAAAAGGTGCAAAAATTAGTACACCATATCCGGAAATCGACAATTAATGTCTCTTCAGTGATGTGTAAGGAATCGAAACGGTATTTGGAAGGCCATATAATTTACCTCAATTTAGGATAGACTCTTGAATTTTGAAGAGTCGAAATAGGATGAACGGATCATATAAAACCGAAGGTAAATATAATACAAGCCCAAACGAAAAAATGTAAACAAGTCTAAATTGAAAACAACGTTCAAACCTATGATTGCGTTGGATAAAAACCGCTATTTTTATACGTGTGCAGGCAAAACAAATTTCTTGGTAGAGGGGTCTAAATACAGCACAAACAACATTTTCCAAAAGACCAAAAAAGTGAAAAAGTATATTTTAACAAAACGCATTTGACTAGCAGGTCGAACAACGGATGTTCTTAAACCCTGCTGACTGCCATTGGCGATTGCCAAATAAACTGATCACCAGATGTAACAAAATGGATCTTAACTATTAATTTAATACCAAACAAAAAAACAATAAACTTTCGTGAAAGATGGTATACCGCAAACAAAAGGTGCAAAAATTAGTACAATATATTCGGATTTCGACAATTAATGTCTCTTCAGTGATGTTAGGAATCGAAACGGTATTTGAAAGGCCATATAATTTACCTCAATTTAGAAAAGACTCTTGAATTTTGAAGAGTCGAAATAGGATGAACGGATCCTATAAACCCAAAGGTAAATATAATACAAGCCCAAATGAAAAAATACAAAAAAGTCTAAATTGAAAACAGCGTTCAAACCTATGATTGCGTTGGATAAAAACCGCAATTTTTATACGTGTGCATGCAAAACAAATTCTTGGTAGAGTGGTCTAAATACAGCACAAACAACATTTTCCAGAAGACCAAAAAAGTGAAAAAGTATATTTTAACAAAACGCATTTGACTAGCAGGTCGAACAACGGATGTTCTTAAACCCTGCTGACTGCCATTGGCGATTGCCAAATAAACGGATCACCAGATGTAACAAAATGGATCTTAACTATTAATTTAATACCAAACAGAAAACTATAAACTTGCGGAAAAGATGGTATATCGCAAACAAAAGGTGCAAAAATTAGTACACCATATTCGGATTTCGATAATTAATGTCTCTTCAGTGATGTTAGGAATCGAAACGGTATTTGGAAGGCCATAAAATTTACCTCAATTTAGGATAGACTCTTGAATTTTGAAGAGTCAAAATAGGATGAACGGATCATATAAACCCGAAGGTAAATATAATACAAGCCCAAACGAAAAAATAAACAAGTCTAAATTGAAAACAACGTTTAAACTATAATTGCGTTGGATAAAAACCACAATTTTTATACGTG